TGTGCAAGCTTCTTGGAACCACTACAAGCGGCAGCAGAAATAGGATGAGAGCATCTATAAAAGCAACCACTGGCTGAAGCCTGACGATAGATGGATCGACTAGCTGACTTGCTGCCATTTGATTGAGATTTGACGGCATAGCATGTGCGCCGAGCATTCTCTTGAGTTAGAAGAAGATGTTTGATGGGATGGCCTGGCTGTGATGAAGCAAAACTTCGCTGAAAGGCTGAACGACAGTGTGGATTCAATATGGTTCGATTAGCTGAGTTTGCCAACTCAACATGTTGCACGGGCCGGCTGTAGCTGGTGCTTGATTCGTTGAAACGTCGTAGGCCGGTGTGTTTGGCTCTCTGATGAGAACCTTTAAAGCAACCACGCTGAAGACAAGGTGTGGACGAAATGGTTCGATTAACTGACGAGCCAGTGGGAATGAATGTGGTTTCCTGATTCCTGCAAAGTGGTACCGCAAAGCACTGTGCTATATTTGGGCACTTAGTGATTTGCTTGGAGTGCTTGTTCTTGTTGTGAAAGCATTGTTGAATCAAGATGCTTTTCGCAGGCTTGACTTGCATGGTCTTGCTGTTTGAAATTCTGGTGTGTACAAATTTCTTGGAACCACAACAAGTGGCAGCATACAGAAAAGCAACCACTCGCTGAAGCCTGACAATAGATGGATGGACTAGCTGACTTGCTGCCATTTGATTGAGATTTGACAGCAACGCGTGTGCGCTGAGCATTCTCTCGAGTCAGAAAAATATGTTTGATGGGATGGCAGATGGCTTTGATGAAGCAAAGCTTTGCGGAAAGGCTGAACGACAATACTTTTTTTTTTTACGGTATTCATTATGTTTCATTGGCTGAGCCTGCCAACGCGACATTGCTCCATTTGGCTCAGGTATGCTGGACTTTTTTTTGAGCATTTTTAGAGAGGGAGAGAGATGGGGAGACACACACGCAAACCCACACATTGCGATCTATTTATATTATATATTTGCAACTAATTACAGTATTTTTCCACATCCTGACGCTAACATGAAGTAGCCCTTTTTTCACGCCCAGCTGTTAGGTGCGCTTGGTGGACTACGAGTGCATAACAAAGTAAGGGGCCCCAAGGAGTCAAACACCTCTGTACTACGCTCGCCCTTGCAGTTTTCTTGGCTTTGTCAAGACCTGTTTGTTTTGGACAAGAATTGGAGTTTCACCCCTGGCGTCATTCGTTTTTGGATTCACCGGTTCTTGCGACTCATCGCAGAAAAAACACATGGTTTCGAGGATATTCGCTGCTTCAGCTGCCTCAGCTGAGGTCGGGCACGCGTTTCGATACCCGCCTGGTGGCCTTTGGCGCCTTTGCGGGCTATGCTGGTGCCCCTTGGTCTAGTTGGTACAGCACAGACCGTAGAGAAAATGGAATGTATACCGATTGTATTTATAGGGACACATATACATATACATATATGGATTGATGTTAAAACCACTCAACTACCAAAGATGTCGTTTCCAATCGCATTGCGAACAGCTAGCTCTTTCCCCGAGAGCGACTCTTTTGAGGCCATTGACTTCCTTCGGGGCCTGGGAGAGCGGCTTTTAGCCTTGGGCTTCAGCACGATGGGGAGCTCAGTGTGATTCATGTCGGATCTCGGATTTTCCATCCCGGAGTCAAACGACAGAGGCCCCAGACGAAGGAAGACGACAAGTGGCAAGCACCACAAGTTGGACTACCACTTCTGTTTTTGCGGACGCTTAAAGACGGTTAAGGGCAGGCTTGTCGTTCTAAACTTTCGTGTCATCGAGTGATTCGAAGATGCCCGATGATACTCGTACTGCATAGTCTGTTGTGCATCTGGGCTCACTGCATTGTGAGGCCTCTTTTGCACATCGGATCTGCCTTCATGTATCCGACCCTGGAAGAGGCGGCAAACAGGAACATGGTGAAGCATGACGTGCAAAATACAAGATTCTAGAGTCTCAGTCTCTTTAGAGGGAATATGCACGAATGTCAATATTCAAAGAACTTGGGGGCAGTTGGGGACAGGAAAGAAGCTACTTTGGACGTTGCAAGATACTTATCAAACATGATGGGTCATGCATTCTCCTTCGATCCCCCTCTTGCATTACTGTCCCATTTGGCATTTCTTCTTGTGGGGCGCTCTTGTGGGAGTTTTTTGCCACTGCGAGCCCGCGTTGAGGTCAAGCCTCGTGTCACTAAAAGGAAGCAGACATACAAGAGGAGAGAAGACTCCTGTGAAACAAAGAGTGAAACAAGGTCCCTAAGAAACAGACCCCGGGTCTCAGATCATTTTGTTTGACACTCTTGTAGGAGACACTCTTGTAGAACACTCTTGTGGTCTACTTACGAAGCTGGCAAATGCTTCCTCTTTCATCTTCTTAATTGTCCCAAAGTCCGGCCTCTCTTTGCCATCGAAGTTCCATGACCTAGACCCTCGCTTGGTAGGCCAAGAGAGCCGTCGCCTTGGCTGGGGATGCCATTCGAAAGAACGGGCTGCCCAAGGCAAAAGGGTTCACCAGTCTTCCGGATCCCATGTGAGCCTGGCGCATTCGGAGTCATCCGATGTGCGGAAGTGACGTGAATCTGACGAACCACGATGCCTTCCATTGCCCCATCTTGCGCATTCTTTCCCGGCGCGCTGGCAGGCAATGTGCCCTTTCACTGCAGTGTTCACCGGGACCCGCGCCTGAAGTCACTTGTAGCTAAGTGAAAACCGATCTTAGGTGACCTATGATGCAGAAACTAATCCAATGATCTTGTGTTGTGGCCTGGTGGCTCGTTTGACCCAACGAAGTCAGTTTGTTTGACCCAACGTGTGCGTGGATTCTTGTTTCTTGGCTTTTATGACACCACTTTCTTGTTGGTGGATGCACAGACCGGCCACACCCTCTAGAAGGCTTTCAGAAAAGCTTAAAAGGAGTCGTACCACCACGAGGGATCCCTGGAGACCGTTTGCACCAGCCAGGACGGGCAACGTGAGAACGGGGCCTCAGGGATCCTCGTGGGCCCGAGGAGCGGCTTTTGCAAAAAGGCCGGAATAAGCATGAGGAGCAAGAAGCTACTAGTAACAAGTGCATCGCTACTAGTAGCAAGTGCCTTACTAGTAGTAACAAGAAGCTACTAGGAACAAGTGCATCGCTACTTGTAACAAGTGCCTTAAGAGTAGTAGTAACAAGAAGCTACTAGTAACAAGTGCATCGCTACTAGTAACAAGTGCCTTACTAGTAGTAACAAGAAGCTACTAGTAACAAGTGCATCGCTACTAGTAACAAGTGCCTTACTAGTAGTAACAAGAAGCTACTAGGAGCAAAGGGCATCGCTACTAGGAGCAAGAAACATGAAGACAGAAGCATTGCATGGAGTTGACATCACTGGTGCATGATTGAGTAGTCTCATGTTCATTTAGCCCATCTCCATGAACTCGACAACGAGGCAGGTGAGATTTGCTTCTCCAGCTCTTTTTGAGGAGAGTTTTGGGTGCCGCAGGTGACCACCGCACGAAACTTGCCAAGGTCAAGGTGCCCTTGAGATCTTCAAGTTGTTGCCACATGAGATGGTGCGCTGTGGAGCTCGGGAGTAGACTTGAAGAGCCATGGATGAGAGTCTTCATGTGCAAAAAAGGTTGATCTCATGAGTCTTGAGTCTTGATGCCCTTGTTCATTCCCTTCAAAAAAGACCAGAGTACACAGCCAACTCACAAGTCGCAATTTTCAAGGGGAAGCCTTCAACTTCACGTCAATCGAGTCAATCGTCTCGAGTCGCTTTGCAGGTCGACCCATCTGACTTGCCGAAACTTTGCCAAAGCTGGGACACCCAGCATGTTTAGCTTGATGTGATCTCTAGCCTTTTGGCCCAGACTAGCAAGTGAAGTGAGAAGTCTGGCTTCGACAAGTGCCTTAGCTAGTCCTGCGGTGCACCTGTGCGGTGCACTGAGACTCTGTGGGATTTTCACGACTGGGCCTTGACTTCAAAAATGCCACTTGGCAATTCAACACAAGCCCGGATCAAGATAGTGCCCAGCCCGCCAGCACACGCTCTTTCTCTACTTCAGGAGCTGACAAGGGCGAGCTGTCTCGTGAGGACCCGCGAAGCAGTTCTCCTTGGGTCCACAGACTGAGGATTCGAGAACGGATACTTTTTCATATACATGTTCGGTGTGACTTGTGAGTACTGTCACCTCAAAAAAGTGGTTCCACTCGCAAACGGTTCTGAATTTCCTGAGGTTCAGTTGGAATCAGCTATCAGCTTTACTTTCAGTATGCCCATGAGCTCTCCACAGCATTCGCTACACATCTCGTCATTGTTTAAAAGGCCACTTCTTGTCTAGAGCCTCCTTGCCACGCCTCGCTTCATTTTTTGGTCTTCGCAATCTTTTGTCATTCCACTATTTGAGTCTATGTTAATATTTAATTTGTTAATTACATTGAAACTATTTGATCGATCATTATCATTTAACCCCTCTTCATCTCAGACGCGATCGAGATTCTCAGCCTCTGACTTGTTGTCCAGGACTTCATGGCATTTTGATGCATTCTAAACATTCCTTAAACAGCTGCATCCTGTTTCATTGATGAGGACATTTGATGGCTGATTACAGCATCAGCCGTGCAGGCTCAAGAATGCATGTGATGCCTATTTGCTACAGCCAAGGATATGCTTCGAAAATCTTCCAAATCCCAATACCTCTACGTTTGCTTGTAAATGCCTGTACATGCACACACTCCAAAAATGGAAGTCAGTCAGGCATGGACCAGTGGATACGACGGATACGATTCTCCTCCATCGTTCGAAGCTTTGACTCGCCGCAAGAATTGGTTCGTTACAGAGCTTTACTTGTAGTCATTCCCGGAACTTCCCACTACAGCTCATAGCAGTAGAGTCCTTTTGCCTTTCGGCATCAGTCTCAATCCTAGACTTCGTGAGAGAACGATAAGACGCCGTGTGCAGCGGGGCAGCTGTTCCGATACGCGCACGGTGCCGGCCTCTCGCGACCATGGAAGATGATGTGGCAGCAGAACCACGCAAGAAGAAGAAGATCAAGCCCGGCTCGTTTCAGGGCCTTGGCTTGAGCTCCCCCACCTACAAGGCCATCACGCGAGACTTGGACACATCGAACACCGAGAAAAATAAATCACCCAGCGGGCGGTCATGATGGTCGTGCTACGAGTCATAAGAGTTTTGCAGATTCTGTTGTGGGCCATTCCTGAGGTCTGATGTCTTTTAATGTGAAAACTCTTTAGCGTTGGCTGGTGTGAGGAATGGGCTACAAAGTTCCGACTCCAATTCAGAGAAAGACGATCCCCACCATCATGGAGGGCCAGGACATGGTGGCAATGGCACGAACTGGTTCAGGGAAGACCGCGGCCTTTCTGATCCCCATGTGCGAACGCTTAAAAAGTCATTCCACCTCGGTGGGCTTCCGGGGTGTGGTGCTGTCACCCACCCGGGAGCTTGCAATGCAAACAGCCAAGTTCGCTCGGCAGCTGAGCAAGTTCAATGACCTGCGCTGTTGCTTGCTGGTGGGGGGTCAAGGCATGGAAGCTCAATTCGAGCACTTAGCCAACAACCCTGACATGGTCATCGCAACACCTGGCCGTTTGATGCACCACATCTTGGAGGCAGAGCTCTCACTGTCCCGTGTGGAGATCTTGGTCTTCGATGAAGCAGACCGTCCCTTGACTCAACAGCAGACGACGTCCCGTTCGTTCGTTTTACTTTGCGACCGTCTCTTTCGTTGGCGACCGTCTTTCCACTGATGTGGGCAGGGGTGGGGTCACTTGTCATCCTTTCGGTGAAAAGGACCGGGCGACGTGGCGACCTGGCGACGTGTCTTGACCTCCACATGTTTCACTCGAGGTCTCTTCGAGTTGGGCTTTGCAGAACAGCTGCAAAAGATTTTGGATGCCACCCCAAGCTCCAGACAATGCCTCCTTTTTTCTGCAACTCTGCCGGCACAGTTGGTCTCCTTCTCCCGCGCGGGCATCAAGGATCCTGCCTTCATCCGCTTGGATGTGGAGACGTCTCTTTCCGAGTCATTGGATCTGTGGTATCTCTTTGTTCGGAAGGATGAGACGCTTTCGGTGCAACCAATGAGAGCGGTTTCTTCGTTCATTTTGTTTGGAACAGTTGCTCCTCAGAACACTTTGCCCGACCTTCGTGTGATTTGAATTATTTTTCTTCAGATGAGGAAGATTGCAGCTGCGATCTCTGTCCTGAGACGATTTCACCAGGACCAAAAGGCCACGATTATGAGCCTTGTCGCAGTCACAGTCCCTTTTGGGCACGCCAAGTGGTCTTTTTCAAGGGTCCTTTTGACCATCCACATGTCGGTTCATTTGTTCATCGCTGCGGGTGAATGACTTACCATCCAGGTCCATTTTGATTTTCGCCTCACGAACTTCTCAAACGTCTCAGGTTTGTTGCCACAAAGCATCATGTGGAATTCTTCGGGGAACTCTTGCAGCAGCAGGGTTTGCCCGCAGCTACAGTGTACGGTACCATGGACCAAACAGCGCGTCAGGAGCAGGCGCACCAGATGACCCATCGGGGTGGTGGGGGTTTCGAACGTGTTTGCGGAAGGTTGATGGAGTTGAAGGGAATTCAGGAGACAACTGAAAGGAGTGCTTTGTGATGAAGCGACGTTTGATTGTTCTCCCCCTCCTTGATATTTTCACCGGTTTGGTTGGGTTTGATCATCTTGCTGGGGCGAACTGCGGTGAACACCGTTTTGCCTTCCCCTTTGATTCGGGGCGCTGTTTTCCCCTTCTTCTCCCCGTCTCAGGTGGCCCGATTCCGGAAGAAGCAAGCGAGGATTCTGGTCACCACTGATGTGGCAGCTCGTGGTGTCGACATTCCCGCGCTGGACCATGTGTTGAACTTCGACTTTCCATCCAGTGCAAAGCTATTCATCCACAGGCAACCGGTTTTCTGCCGGTCTGTTCAACCTTTTGGGCACACAATGCGGTGTCTTTGACAAAGTAAGTAGGACATGCAAAAAGGTGAACTTGGAGCACCAGCTCGAGCAACCATCAAGTAGTTGAATCAAGTACTGTACCAAACAGGTTCATCCTCTTCCTGCCAGGCGCTTTTCTTTTTGTAAGCTCCTGCATACTTGGCCTTCAAAAAACAGCGGTTGGTTTTTCGATACACAGTGATTCAGCAAAAGATCCCGCTGTTTTTGGCGCGGCCTCGGACCAAAGCCGACAGCTTGAAAGATGCCGTGACTGAACGTGTCACCGAACTGTCACCGTCCTCAGCTGTGCCGTGGACGGTCCTCACGTGGTCACCGAAGTCACTCTCACTTAGTAGCGATGCCCTTTGCTCCTAGTAGCTTCTTGTTCCTGGTAACTAGCAGTAGTAAGGCCAGGAGCCACTAGTAGCGATGTCCTTTGTTACGAACGTAGCGTGGGTTTTGGTGGTCCTCGTGTTCGCCAGCTCGTGTTTCTCGGCGGAGTGACGGGCTTCCAGGTGTGGTCGGACAGCTCGTGCGGGTCGTTCCGGCCTGGCAGCGTCTTTGGTAACTCTGGATGATTTGCCCTATACAGTTGAGCTCATGCTCTTTGGCTTTGAACGTCTGTGAAGGAGTGACAGGCACCAATTTTTCATCTTGTGATTGACCTTTTTTGCCTGCACCGTTGGAATCCTGAGGTTTTTTTGCTGTATTTTTCTTGGACAATCTTGCTTCACCCAAGGTGACTCTTAGTTCACATCTTCTCAACCATCTCAATCAAAGTCAGTTCACCATTTGGTACAGAGTTCATGAGGGTCGCGTCTCATGTGTTGAAGCCAGTCGTGTCTGTCGCCACCGTGGTCTGAGGACCTTTTTGGGCCACAAACTGCAATTACCTGGGTCGTCGGAGGACCGGCAGACACCAGTCATTGGAGCTTTGCCTCCCTTGGACCACGAGATGGAGGCCTTAAGTGGTGCCTGGGATGGGTTTTTGATGGTTTTTGGACCCCACACAAATTCGGGAGTCTAGATCATCTCTGAGTCATAGTGAATACATGTAGAGACCCGTATTTCCCGAATGCGTAGCAAAGGGTTCTCGTTTAACTGGCGGTAGACTCCTGTTCCCGACTCGTTGTCGTAGCGTTCGCAACCGTTTGCAACCGTTCGCCGCCGTTCGCGGATGTTCACGGTATGGCGCTATGGCGCTGACATTGGGCCAAGCTTTTGAAGGAGGTTTTGGATGGAAGCATGACATGTCAGATTCGTGTGAAATAGCCAGGGAACGTGTAACAGGTTGAAGTATGGAGGATGATTTTTCTGCGCAGGTGCAGCGTTTTGTGCGATCCTCAATTTTCTTCACTGTGAGATTGGGGTTGGCATTGGCCTTTAGAGGGCGGTGTTTTTGAGGTGTTGGATGTGGCTGTGACATGCTGTGCCAATGGGATCTGCGTTTCAGGCTGGTGCTTCGAAGCTGTGCTTTCGTGACAAGTCTCAGCTAAAATGGCGATTTTAAGTGATTTTGGTGGATGGGAGTGTGCTCAGAACGTGTCGAAGTCATTCCAAGCGTGTGGTGCGGTGTAACTTTCTTAAGACATGAAGATGTCGTGTCGTCAGTCTTGGTGCGTGTTGGAGGAGTCCAAGTTGCACATTTGTGGCAGGCGTGAGGAATCGTGAGGCACTGCAGACAGATGCGCAGTAATGCTCTTGGTAAATTACAATACTTGCTGGAGAGATCTGGTTCCATTGACTTCAAAGGAGTCGAAGCCGTCGTCGAACAGGTTAACAGTTCGACCCTCAAGGACCGTTATGTCCATTTTCAGCGCGTAGCGCAGGACGTGCTTCAGCACCCGCAAAAAAGTAGGGGGAAGGGCGTCCCTTATAAGAGGAGGACACTTGAAAAGACCATTGATTGATGTGGAACTTCAACATCAGAGTCTTGTGTTTGCGTTCACTTTCCCGAGAGACCTATGCGCTAGCAGCGCTGTTGAGACACCCCCGAGAACCTGTATAGTCGACCTTTCAGTTTTTTGAACGACCCTATTCGATCGAACGGCTTCTTGTCGAACGTGTGTGCATTCGGGTTCGTGGGTTCGATCTTGTTTTTTTTGGGGTTTGAGAGTTTTGCGTAGTTCATCGAGGGTTCCAGCACAATCAAGGAATGATCACGGACGAGGCCGAGGGCACGATGTTGAGAAGCCTGTTCAAGTCTATGCAAGCCTCATACAATCTTTACAACAAGACGCGCCCCTCCGCTTCCAAGTCCTCTGTAGCTCGAGCAAAAAAAGTTGATGGAGGAGTGTGGTGGCGCGGCTCAACTCCAGAGTATGCTGCTGGTTTGCAGACGTGAATGTTTCTGTGAGACAAGAACGTGGCAGTAGAAAGACACCACAACACACTCAAAAGGCACTCCATTGCCTCCAAATGTCTAAAGCAGAAAGGTCCAAAAAAAAGAAAGGTCCAACATAGGGTCTGAAGAAGAAAGGTCCCAAAAAGGATCTAAAGAAGAAAGGAGTGAAAAAGGGGGTCCAAAGAAGACAGATCAAAAAGAACGGTCTAAAGAAGAAAGGGCAAGAAAAGGTCTAAAGAGACGAAAGGTCAGTCTATATAAATATTAAAAGGTCAACATAATGTCAGTATATCATCATTTGATTGATGTCCTGACTCGAATTTGACTGTCTGCTTTGAGGCTGCATCCTGCATTCAGTAGCGAGGAGTCTACGAAACAGCATGGTCACCAGCCTGGATCTGCAATTACGTCCAGCTCAGACATGTCTCTTGAAGCATCCCAAGCTGAATCACATTGTCCGTTCTAGATTCTACATCTTCAATCCGGTTTCTAGTTGACTTTTCTTTACCACAATGTATTTTGCTTTCATTTTGCACTTTCAGCTTGTGGCATCAAGAATGGGATGGGAACCAAAGATGGACCATTTCTGAGGTCGTATATCCGAACACTACGAGGTTTCAGGCCGAAGATTGAGAAGCTGGGCAACGTCCTCTCCGTGGGCGCCATGCGGACCATGGAGCAAGCCAAGTTAGATGCTGCCGCTGTTGCTGCCACCGTCTCCACCGAAGAGACCCAGGCAATCTTCAGCAAAGGCCACCAAGCAGCAGAGGTGGAAGAGGAGCCTGAGCAGGAGGAGGCTGAAGTGCAGACAGTAGCAAAGAAAACACGAGATAAACCACGCATGTCCAAGAAGGCAAGGAAACAATCCAAGGGAGGTCCGCCAGGTGTGACTTCAGCAGATGCTGACTTCGACATCAAAGTCTCGGGAGATGGCTTTGGCGAGAGCAAAGCAAGTTCCAAGCGTGAGACCGGCGAGCAATTTTATCTCAGCACCGCAGTTGATCTCACAGATGAAACGAGAGAACGTGGCTTTGACATGGAGCAGTGTCTTGACTTTCATTCTGTGACAGCTGGAAACCCGACAAGTTCCAATCTTGAAAGTAAGAATGATGACCAACTCTCGCTTTTGTCGCCAGGGACAGTTAGGTGCACTTTGCACTGAGTATGAAGCGCTTTGCACACTTGTTGAAGCATAGCGGGGTAGCTACACCAGCCACTGAGCAAGGGCCTTGTACTCCTTGGTTTAGGACGGGGCATGACCCTCCCTTGTATACACATCACTAAAAACAACCAGGGCAAGGGGAAGAACCGGGGTTTCTGATACTGCTCTTGTGGGTTTTCCTCTGAGCAGGTATCAAATGGACTTGCTCCCAGACGATTCATCGGATATCAAGAAGGCCAAGAGTGTCATGCGCTGGGACGCCAAGCGAAAGAAATATTTGCCCACCATGGTCACCGCTGATGGTCGTGCGCTGAAAGGGCAACGCCGCAATGAGAGTGGAAAGAAGGTCAAGGGAGAAGCTCAGAAGAGCAACATCTACGAGAAGTGGTCCAAAGCAACGAAAAAGCGAATACAGAAGGTTGGTGAGGTGGAAGATGCTTCTGCTGACCCCCTGGGCAAGTTGAAGAATCTCGGCATCTTTGGAGACTCAGACAAGCTAAATCGTATGGCACCAATCGGCATGTTGGGGAAGGCCATTTACCCACCATATACATAGTCACAAAATGGATGGAAGGACTGGCAATTGTGTCAGCATACATGTATAAATATCATCATCCCATGTGATTCTGAATTCAAGCATCAGTTCTCTCACACTGACTCACGCCAGGAAGTCGCAGTCAAACACTGTGGAGTTTGATGCAGCAGGGGAGGTTGCTGAGGATCCTACAGTCAGGAAGCCTGTGGTACCTTTCCATGGCAACATCTCTGAACAGTATCTCACGCACAAGCAGAAGCGAGCGCTGAAGAAGCGTGCCAGGAAGCTTGACCACTTCTGCAGTTGATTTTCCCCCAAGTATACTAAGTATACAGTTCAACCTGGTTCCACCTAAGGATTGTAAAGAACTGATCTTGGGCTTGCACTCAGTCACTCAGTGAAGCATGTCCTGACAAAGTTTTGACATGTTTTGACCAGGCTGGATTCTGTGCTCGATGGAGAGGGAAAGAAAGAGTTGAAGACACCTCAGCAGATCCAGCAGGACAAAAAGCAGCGGGAGAAGAACAAGTTGAAACAAAAGCCTTGGTTAAGAAAACAGAGAGCCAAGCAAAACAAAGAGACCCGCATGAAAAAGATGGAGGAGCGACAGATGCGCCTCTTGTTTGCAAGGGGCCGGGGCAAGACGCTGCATTTGTCGCAATGAGACTTGCAATGCTTCAACTTTTCCAGTCGACTCCATGGATTAAGCTGGAAGCTTTCTTTCTTCGAACCTCCTCCCTTTTCCCTTTTTTCAGAACACAGGCGGTGACAGGTGAGGACTGTACTGGACGTTTTGTGGGTGATGCTGTGATGCATCTTGTGACATGCATGACGCCCGCCTGTCCATGCTTGTGGCCAATTTGTTGCCAGATTCCACAGGTTCGGTTCATGATGTCATGCTGTTTCATGGGTTTCCCATCACACCGTTGTAGCCGTTGTGAGGCTACGGTGCACGAACCAAAGCCAAGATGTTGATCTTCGAGGGTCCAAGGAAGTGGATGAAGAAGAAGTCGGCGCCACAGAAAGGCTATGGTCCCCGAAGTGGCTTCTGACACCGGGAGGTCACCGAGGTCACCCGCTGTTTTCGCTTCTTCTTCTTCTTCTTCTTACTTCTGCCGCGACCTCGGTGCCGACCGCGCGTTCGGCGTTCGGAGATGTTGGGATGAGATCCACTAGCTGGGCCAAGATTCTCAAGACAAAACATTTGAATGCCAATGCTTCCCAGTACCATGGATTGCCCAACAACCGGCTTCTTGTGGATCTTTGCCCGTTGCCTCGCTGACGTCTGCGCCAGCGACAGAGCTCTTACCAGTGGAATTTCCTGGTACAAAGCTACAAGGATCACCACACTTCAGCATAGCTGGGGTGATCCAGCCGATTGCGGGATGTGGAGCTAAGATGCCATTCATCTCTTGTCTGGGACGCGACATGTAGGGCCACTAGAGTTTCACTCCAAAAAGTCGTTGGGGACATTACCAGTTTGTACCGCACCTGGAGATGGACCAATTCTCGGTCCAATTCGATGTTTGAAGACCGTTGAGGTCCACTTCTGCAGGAGAACCCCCCCACCACGACCGGTGATTCCGGTGATTCATGCCACGCCATGGATACACTGAGTCGATGCGAGGAGTTGGACCGTCGGATGGAACTGGATCCCACGTTGGTCGGATGTGTTTCTTTGAAGGACTGCCACAAACTGCACCTGTCCATTGCAACAGCGGAGCACATGGTCAGGCACAGCACGCTTTTGCGGGCTGAAGGACCATAGTGACATAGTGGAGCTACCACCCAAAAAGTTACGTAGTTAAGGACAGTGTCTCTATGTAGACAGCAAACCGTCTTGGATCTTTTATGTTTTGTTCATGGTGTGGGTGTTGTTGCACGACTGCACAGGCGCCGCGATGGACTTCCTTTTGACAAGAACAGCTGCTCGGCATTGCTCGGCTGTTTCGGTGTTCTCTCATTCAGCGGCCGAAGGTACAAGTCTGTGGCAAGATTTTCCCAAGCAGTAAATTCTGCGATTGGAACCGGCCATGTTTCTCTGTGGCACATGTTTTCTTTTCGGCGTAATTTGCCGATCGGTGGGGGTTTTGTGCTGAAAAAGGCTACTACAGCCAGCCTGATGACTACGAGCCTACGTTTCAGGCGGATGCGAAGAGTGAGCTTTCTGGGACACCCATGTAGCCCTGTCTACACGGACAACACGCTTGAATCAACCACTCTGCGAGATGGTTTGACCACTCCGCACCATTCAAGAATTGCAGGATTCAATCCTTCCCTATGCCACTGTGGTGTTGAACGGCATGTACTGGGATGTGGCTTGGCTGAATCGCGATCAGAAAGCGACGTGGCCGACGTATTGCCCTGAGGCGCGATTTCCGAGACTCTTTACCAGCCAGGACGGGACTTTGGTTTCTTAAAGCCTTTTGACAGCACGGACGGGTCCTGTTTGACGCTCGCAAGTTCCCTTTTCACCGCTTGACAGCACTTGGTCCCTGAGAGTTGGCGGGCAAAGCGCCTTCTGCAAAGTATCTGCAAAGTATGACGATAAACCCCCTATATAAATGAATACTATATCTTTCTCTCTCTCAATTGGCATCCTATCCGGACAGCTTGGGAAATCGGAGTCGTGTTCCGCTGAAGATGCTCTGTGTTCTATGCTCAAGTTCCGTGTTCCAAAGGAATCGACCGTGCTCCGCGTCTGTTCGGCCTCGCCTCCCGTGCTCGGTCAGGATCTCCACCGACACGTGGTGAATGGCCGTGACAAGCTCCTCGGCGCTCGGAGCCCCACCCGGTGGCGACGTCGGTCTCTTCGCTACGAGGAGCAAGTGCCTTACTAGTAGTAACAAGAAGCTACTAGGGGCTCCTGGCCTTACTACTAGGAGCAAGGACGCAACTAGGGGCTCCTGGCATCGCTAAATAGTTGAGTGCCGGAAGGGTCGCAGGTAGGTTCATCCGGGATATACCACGCGACCGGAACGCGAGACCTTGAGACCTGAGGTGTGCGACATTACATGTGATGCAGACGGCTCTGTGCCAACTCGGCAGTTTGCAAGCATCGAGCAGCCCTTCCACATCCTCAACGTTCATCTCTCAGGGACAGAAGATGTGTCAGAGAGCCGAAGAAGATGGAACGACAAGAAGAGATTTGATCACCTGACATGAGATGGCAAAACCATTTAGAGGTAGAACCATGTAGAGCATTCCTATTGTGCAAGACACGACAGGACTCTATATTTGGAGGACATTTTTCCAGTGGATTCCAGTGCAAAGTTTGCATTTTTGTTGGATCTGGTTAGCTGATGCCAACAAATCTCACACATTCTCTTCTGAAAACTCTTAGCTTCACGGACCAATCCGGACAGATCTGTTGGGAATTTAGGCCCTCACGGAGCGAATCTCCCCCTGCCTGGACGAGTGCCTTGGCGTTTTTGGGGTCGGTTTGGGCGGACGACCTCCCCCAGCCCCGAGCCCGAGCCCGTCATGCCACGTCGCGACCATGAGCCGAGTCGCGTCCCCCCTCCGAGTCCTGGCATCCTCTTCCACGCTGTGGACCACTTGCCCTCCGAGCTTCCACGTGAGGCCCTCTTTCGGCTGAACCATCGAAGCATCGGGGGGGGTTCGGTCGAATTGCGACCGAAGAGGGCGGAGAGCGAAGCGATTCTCTTCCAGACAGACCGGAAAACACCGGCGAAATGCTTGAACACTAGCTCTCGAATCTCATCGGATCATCCAACATCTTCACATCTTCACATCCATCGAATCTTCGTTGTCAACCCCGGCCAGTCCTCGGAGCACTTCGGGGACTGCCTGGTGCCGTTTTTGCCCAGCTTGGCCTCCCAGCTGGCGTCCCGAGCTCGGGTTCTCCGACGGTCTGTGCGGACCGCTTTGCGGAGCGAAGACGGCCTTTTTCTTTGGCTTCTGACCTTTGTACGAGCGATGGGTTTTTCTTTTTCTTTCTCCAACCTTGGCAACTAGTTTTCTTATTACGTTCTAAACCTGAGGATTCCTTCCTCCTAGGATTTGAAATTGAACTAAACAGGCACAGAGTGCACGTGCCAACTGACCATGGAGAGCTTTACAGGGTTTGGGGATGGTTTGTCAGAGAACCGGACGAGATTTGGAATGGCTTTCAGGCCCATGGCACCCCTGGCTGGTGCTGACCTTATTGACTGAGAGACATGCAAGCCATGCATTGGGGTTGATTGTGATTGTGCGACCACACGCATTGTAATATTTGGGTTGATGATGTTGATGCATGCTAGTGGCGTTGCTCGTGATGGTTTCTTGCCAGCATGATATCGTAGGTGTATGACACGGTATTGTATTATGTGGGGGTCAGTTCCGAAGCACTTTGTGCAAGACCTTTGACCCCAGAGTGTCCAACGAGTGTTCTGGAGAATGGGCTGTTTTGGTTGAACAACTTGGCTCCCCAAAGCACCCCGCGTTTCTCCAGCTTTGTTTTGGTGGTTTTTGAGGTGATGAGATGGCGGGATCGGCGAATCTGCCGCCCCTGTGGCCAGTTTTGAGTGGAATTGGGACCACCAGCTTGATGTTGTACAGAACAATGCTTCTCTTGTAAAATAAAATAGGAACAACATAGAACAACCATAGGACATCCAAAAAGAAGCACCAAAGCGGAAGTACTTACAGAGGGTTTTTCCATGTCAAAGCTGAAAGTCTTGAATCAGCTGATTGCAGTGAAAAATACTTGAAAGGACTTTGACATAGACATTAATTTCCTTGAACATATGCAAGTACCTCAGTTTGCTGCATCTTCGGTCATCTAAAGTGTCCATAGACGTGAACCTGCATTCTTTTTTGGCCAACAGAAAGCCAGGATGCCAATCAGAGGAGCTATCATCACTGAGGGCGGGCAATTGGCGCGCGACTACAGTCACATGCGCACGATTGTCGGAGGTTCGTGGTCGCACATCTTCAAACTTCGGCCTTCCGCACGATTGTCCAACTGGGTGAACCCCCCCAGCTTGGAGATGCAACGCCATTCTGGTGAAGGTTGAAATTGTCATTAATATTATCCAGAAATCCAGAAAGGACATGAAAAGACTGGCGATCTCTTGCGGCTCAATGGAGGACGATGGGTCAGAAACGGGAACTGGATGATCAACGCGACCAGGGATACAGTCATCCGGGTGCCAGTCGTCCAGCCAGGATACATCCAGCAACTCAGGGATGTGCGAGAAGGAAAGGTGGCGTGCTGAGTAGCGGTTTTTGGAGATGGGAACGGTCCAGAAGTCAACGGTGGATGGGATATGGAATGAGAAAAATGGACAGGACATTGAGAAGAACTGGAGAGTTCCAAGTCTCAAATGCCGATTTTGCTCAAGAAAGCTGATGTTTCTCTAGATCCAGTTGGTTTGATCAGTTTTCGACATCTTAACTCGCACCATTCCTGTAGAGCCTTTGAAAATTCTATGATGTTCACAAACAGGTTCTATCATGTTCTGTCTTCTTTTGGACATGCTGTTGTCAAGTACTCTTCTTTTGCAGGTCGTTGATGTGGAGGAAAACATCTCTCCGACCCTGATGCCTCCTGCTTGCTGTCCGACTGCTTAACCCGGCTCAACTTGATTCTCAGACGTCAGGAACGATTTTTTCACACCACGAAACTCTGTGCACAACATGTCATGTCATGTCTATTGCAGCTCATCCCAATCAGCATGTTGTGGAAATCGCGCAATTCTTTTCCTGCAGTCTTTTTTGGCTGAAGACCAGCGGTCGCTCTCAGCCACTTCCATTTTTTTACATCCCATTTGCTGTCGAAGATGGCATCCAAGGCTGGTGCTGCTCTCACTGTGGCTGCTGTGGGAGGTGTGGCATTCGTAGCACCTGGCATCGGCAGCAAAGCCACCAGCACTACACCTGCGCTGAGGGGCCAGGTGCGCAGCCAGACTTCTTCTGGTCTCAGCTCGAATGCGGCAGCAGCAGTGGCGCTGAGCAGCGCTGCAGTCTTGGTAAGCCAGGCCAGAAAGAACAGCAAAAACACCGCCTTGAGAGCTTTTGAGACGGAGCTCGGTGTCACTCCTCCATTGGGTTTTTGGGATCCCTTGGGCTTTAGCAAGTTCGAGAACCCAGAGGTGGCGAAGCAGCAATTCAAGCGCCGGCGAATCGTAGAGATTCAACATGGCCGTGTTGCCATGCTGGCTTGCATTGGCTATATTGTGCCAGAATATTATCGCTTTCCCGGTCTTTGCTCGCCTTCGCAGGGCTTAGCCTTCACTGACATTCCCAACGGCCTTAAGGGAGCTGCTGCTGTGCCTCTGGCAGGCTGGTTGCAGATCGTCACCTTTGTTGGCATCATTGAGGTGACCAACCTGCAAAAGGCTCAAGATGAAATTCTGGGTGACTATGGCTACGGAGCCTTTGGCCTTCCTTTTGGCAAGAAGATTGATGATCCTGAAAAGAAGAAGAAGAGCTTGACCGCAGAGCTCAACAATGGTCGTTTGGCCATGATGGCGATCATCGGCATGTTCTACCAAGACGGCTTGACGGGCTCTGCATGGGGTGACTGGGCCAACTACGCTGATTCTCCTTTGAGGGCCTTTGAGGAGGAATTGGGAGTCCAGGCACCGTTTTCTTTTTATTCTTTAAACAATCTCTCTCTATATTAATATATATATATGTAATTATATGTATATATATACACACACACACTTCTTCTTAAACAAACACACTGGGAATCGTTTCACCTGTAGTAACAAGAAGCTACTAGTAAATATTTTATTGTCATTTTGAGATCCAGGCTCCGGTGGGCTTTTGGGATCCCGTGGGCTACACGAGGGATGGAAACATGGAGACCTTCAAGCGCCGCAGGGAGACTGAGATCAAGCACGGACGCGTGGCGATGTATGCCACCATGGGCTATATTGTCCCGGAGTACTTCAAATGGCCAGGATATTTGTCCCCATCTTTGGGCCTGAAGTTCGATGACGTGCCCAATGGATTGGCGGCCATCGCCAAGGTTCCGGGCAACGGATGGGCTCAGATTGTGGCCTTTGCCGGGTACTACGAGCTCTTCGTGTACAAATACAACGGGACTCCAGGTGATTATGGATGGAAGGCCATTAGCTCTGCTGATGCGGAGACCAAAAAGCGCAAGCTCAGTGCGGAACTGGCCAATGGACGACTTGCCATGATGGCCATCATTGGCATGTTCTTCCAAGATGGTTTGACCGGCTCGGCCTGGGGTGACTGGGCTAACTACACCGATTCCCCCTTGCGGGCCTTCGAGAACGAGACTGGTGTCCAGCCTCCTGTGGGCTTCTGGGATCCCTTGGGGCTTTCCACCAGCGGCAACCAATCGGACTACAAGAGACGACGAGAGGTCGAGTTGAAGCATGGCCGTGTCGCCATGTTTGCGACCATCGGCTACATCTTGCCGGAGTATTGGAGGTTCCCGGGCTATTTGTCCAAGTTCTTGGACATCAAATTTGCAGATGTGCCCAATGGCCTGAGTGCCTTCTCCAAGGTTCCAGCTCTGGGCTGGCTGCAGATTGTGGGCTTTGCTGGCATCGTGGAGCTCAACGTCTACAACGAGGAGGTGAATGGCGAGCCAGGCAACTACGGCTCGGGATTCCTGGGACTCCGCTCCGTTGGCGTAATGAACAGTGGCATCGCCGACCCCGAGGTCCGCAAGAAGAAGCTCAACGCTGAGCTGGCCAATGGTCGCTTGGCCATGATGGCCATCATTGGCATGTTCTTTCAAGATGGTCTCACTGGAAGTGCATGGGGAGATTGGGCGAACTACACTGACTCTCCTTTGCGCTAAGGAGTCATCAAGGCATGTTCGACACGGCCTGGGAAAAGAGCTGTGCTGATATTCACTGATGTGGTTAAGGTTCTAGATTCTAGTCTCGCTTGATTAAAGCACATTAAGACCATGTAGGAGCTTGTCAGAATTGACAGAAGGCTCATAACATGCAGCATCCACAGATATACATACAGCACATCAAGACTCCCAGTGGCATTCTTTCAGAAGCTTGACATTCAAGTACCGATGCTGTGTTATGAATGTCTGAGGCACGCTGGAGTTTACTGGGCATTTGTTTGATTCGTGGCGAGCTTAGTCCTTTGGGGTCGGCGGATTCATGCGGATTCGACACCAAGCAACGAGGCCTTTCTCAACATGTCCACCGTCTGAGACGTTTGGCCAGGCGGCTGATCAACCGGGTCGCAGACATGTGCGAAGAGTCTGTGGCACGAATGCAGATCTTGGTGTCAGAGCCTCAGAGCCGGAGACTCTGAGGGAAGATCCGAGCGTCAGGTGAATCCACCATCCGTTCTTTTGTGCAATTGAGACGTTTCTGAAAGAACTTTCTACAATTGCAATACAGTATAACTTAATGGAATATATTGTGGAAAAATATATATATATGTAACTATTTTATATAAAGAGACTGAGAGAGAGAGAGAGAGAGACAAATAAGCAAACAAGCTGCGCTCTGAATGACTCATGCCTTCACCAACTCTCCTGGTTGGGTGTGTCGCCTTTTTTTCCTTGCGAGTGAATGGACTCATGTCACGACCGTTAACTATCCAGGCTGGACCTGGGAAGGACCGTCAACGATGAAAGCTTTTGCTCCATGATGGTCTCGACCTCAGGCTCAGGCGGGGGGTTTGGGGTACACAGTCGGCTGCAGCCATTCGGTGGCGAGCACATCACATCCGCTGCAGATGTCCAGCTCGGCAGCTGTATCTGGCTGAATCCGCCTGGCTTGTGAGTTGTGCTTAGACTTGGTTCAACCTCTGTAGATTGGAGCTGCAAGAAGCAGCTGAAGCGCACACCGCAAAAACCTAGAAGTGCACGCATGGGACACGGACATGGGCATGGGTCACAATGCGTTCTTTTTGGAATCCTACAGTGGTTCAATTTGGAACTCCGGCGGAGGAATTCCCACTCGGAAGGCGAATCCAATAACTTCTAATAAGTTTTGGAGTGTACTAAGGTCCACCGCAGGCATGATTAACTTTCATTCCTTGAATGACTTTCACTGAGGTTCCTTAGACCTCTGCATTGTAGTCTTGCCACTTGACGCCCGAGGTAATGGCCAGCTCCGAGAAGAGCTTGGAGACACTGGTGGTCAAGTGGGCATGCCCAGGTCAGGTGATGTTTGTTTGCAGCAAAAAGGAATGTAGGAATGCATCCTGGTTCCACGGATGGAGGTTCAAGGATTTTTTAGTATTTCTTGGTCGGCAGTTCGAGCAAGGTGTCAACATTGCACGCCTACTACAGATATTAACAACTACAGGTATAGAAAACTGAACGCTGGACATGTTTCAAAAGGTCGCAGTGCATGCAGTTCCCCTGTTGTTGTGGCCTGATCGAATTTGCCTTGGGGTTTTCGGGTGGTGTCCAGCCGACCATCCAAGAAGCAAGAAGCACAGCTCGGGGTGAAGACTTTGACTCCAACCGCACGTTGTCCACTGGTCCACACAATCGACATGCAAGATACGTCTGGGGACATGGTGAACTAGAGTCCTCGACTTCCATTTGCTTCATGCGAAGTACAGCACTGGCACTCTCCATTCCAAAGATGGCGTTCCTTGGACCCATCTAAGGCTAAGGTATATGTCATCATTGATTCACCAACTGAAAGACTTCCTGAAAGCCCTTGTCAGCTGTGCTTTGGAGTTTTATTTCATCGCATCCCTTCAAAGGAGTTTCGAGCGTGACCGGTTTTTGAGCTTCTAGGAGCAAGGACGCTACGTTCGGGGCTCTTGGCCTTACTAGGAACAAGGACGCTACGCTACCAGGAGGAACAAACGCAGCCATCGGTGATCACGCCGAACGCACGGTCGGACGCGCGGTTAGGTCGCGGCCGGCCGAAGCGCACGAGGTTAGAGACGGCGGCTGCGGAGTCCCATGTGACCTACCGCCGTGCCACCCAAGGTGCCTTGCGAGTGCAGGCACCGCTGTGCCGCTGCGCCGGGTTGGGTGTGGTCTTAGAACGAATGTACATCGGCTGGCGAAAGCCTAAAGCAGGCTAGACATGCTAGAAATATGGAGGTATGCTAAAAGTTCGTTTCAGAATATGACACCAGATTCGTAATTCATCGTACCCAGCAATAGCTTGTAGTTGAAGCTTCCTTCCTCGCCTTATTCTTGCAGGATGCAGCCGATCCTGCTGTGTCCGCAGACCTGACCAAGAAGGTGGGCATCAGATTGATACATCAAAAACAGGCGAAACCAGGTCGATGCTTTTCAAACAAGCATTTCAGCTGGGAGCTAGTCCGCTAGTCTGCTAGTCTTACCTCACGTCGTCGTCCTGGCTCTGAGGTCCTGGTCTTGGGGTCTGGGCATGTGGCTTCTCCCTTGATCGCCTACTTGGCACGAAAACCCACTGAGCTCGTTGTGGCCAGTGTGGAGCAGAAGGAGCTCAACGCTCTAAGGCGTCTCCCAGGCGGGCATGGATCAGACTGAACAAAGCAATCGCAAAGTCTACACATAGACTCAGACCTTCGCCAGCTGTGATTACAGCAAGCATTCCATCCGTAGAGCAAGGAACAAGGCAAGCAAATACCTTGGATGCCATTTGAGTTTGACGCCCAACATTATCCTTTCTCCACTGTCTGACCAGGTCTTGGCCGAGTGAAGACTGAGGCGGGTGAATCAATACGGCTCCAAGGACAAACTTGGCAAACAGAGGACATCTCCAAATTGTCCAAGCTTCAATCGTTGTAAAGGCCGCGAAGGCGCAAAGCCAAGACTCCAAACCTCAGGTGTTGGATATTGCCGCAGCTGACCATGATTCAGCGATTGCTGAGAAGCTTGAGACCTTTGTGAAGGCAGATTTAAGCAGGAATGTGTGTGAGGGCAAACATGAGTGTACACCGTACGTGTTTATACTGTATATGAAACAATGCTGTCACGAGAGCAATCAAAAGAACTGCAATGAAACATTATTTACATATGATGCTATATAGGTATACTCCGGATACCGTATTCACTGTTCAACGATTGTTGGCATTGAGTTCTTGCTCAACCAGAAATTATACCCTGAGCATATCTGAGAATCCAAGTGGGACTTAGGACTGTGTGATAGCGAAGCTGTGAGCTTGCTTTGACTATGTAGTTGGACCATGTTTGCTGCATGGCACGGTTTCTCTATTGAGGGTGCCTTTATTTAGATCACTCATCTTGCAGGAATCGGATTTGGTGATTTCACTTCTACCTGCGCACATGCACGTGGGCGTTGCAAAGATGGCAATTCAACATGGTGTCTCCATGGTTACTGCGTCGTACGTGGCTCGGCTTTGCTCTGAAAGCGCTTGTTTTCAGTGATTTACGCTCAGGGCAACTAGCTTCTGGTTCCTCCAATGCAACGATCCAGGTAAGTCCAGAGATGGCTGCCCTTCATGAAGCAGCTGAAAAAGCGGGCGTGCTTATCCTGAATGAGGCGAGTGCCAGAAATCATGTTTGCGCGAGCAACCTTCTGTTTTGAACTAGCAGACAGCCACCTCCAACTTGAACTTCCACTTCAACATGGCTTGGTGGCCGTGTGGCCTGAACCTAGCAAAACAAATGCAGCACAAACAAGAGGAAGACAGCGAAGAACGTGTCCTGCGTTCCGAAGTTCGGGTCGTCCTCTGCGCTCCAGGTGGGTTTGGATCCTGGCACCTCAGCAGACATTGAGTGAGGTGACACATGGATCGAACAACCATTTTTTAGCATGGGGCTCCTGGCCATACTACTAGGAACAAGAAGCATTTGTGTGCTCCACTGGAGATTGGAGATGGGATCGACCTAACTACACATGCTTGCCTTCTAACCTGTATATCGTGGCCGTCCTTTCAAACAATGCTCGTGGTCTTTATGGTGGCAATCTCTTTGGCTTATGCCAGATGATGCCAAGGTATCGATCACCTGAGTGCCATGAGCATGATCGACACAGCCAGGACACGTCATCCACAGGGCTCCACAGGGCTTCAAACCTTGAAAACACAGTGGCTGATTGTGTTTGGCTTGAAGCTGGCTTTCTATCAGGCTTGATCTCTATTCAATTTTGCTTCCCATGCCAGACTTGCGGATGCGCAAAACGGCTTCAGGCTTTCTTGGGTATCTCGAGCTGCTCAAGCAAGACTACAAACAACCACACTAGAAATGGCCGTGTGAACATTTTTGAACCACAAAGAGGAGCAAACTGTTGGTACAATCGCCTGTATACACAGCTTTCATGAGCAATATGGTGAGCCTCCTTTGTTGAACGGCTTTACTGTTTCTTGCCTGCAGACCCTGTTAAACCTCAAACAGACACCTGCCACTTTGCTCCCTTTTCAATGGTTCTAGAACCGAGAACCTGCCTCCAAGCAGCTTCTGTTTGACGATGGCAGGAGCACTGGCAGTGAAATCCTCCGCTTCGCCTCTCTTTGTGGTGGTTTGCCTTCGCCCGAAGCGGCTGGATCCAATCCCATCGGCGCCTCGGTGCGGAGCGACGCAGCGTCGCGTGACCGGTGGGGCGTCCGTTTTTTCGGCGACCGTCCAAGAGAAGACAGCACGGTCCACTTGGACGGTGCCGCCAGTTTCGGACCCAGTCATTCGAGGCTACAAATTCAGCTGGAGCCCGCGGGGTGTTTTGGTTGCCTCCCAGAATTCAGCTCGCTTCAAGGAGAGTGCTTGAGATAGTGAAGTCTGATGAAGTCTGCATTTCTGTGAAGCATGACTTGGTAGTCATGAATGGATTGTAAAGTTAGAGCTGCGAGAAGAAAAGTATAGAAAAGTGGTTCTTGCATTTGGCCACGAATGAGGAGGATGGCCTTTTGCGTGAGATTGCAGGAGAAGATTTGCTGGCCCAGGGTGGGGAGCTTGCTTTGGGATTCAAATTTGAATGAGGTGATTTGGACGGACAGTTCAGTAAGGCACCATGTTGAATGAATTCGCGTACGCCGGACTTTTATCATTCCGCCCAGCACTGAGGCAAGCCGATAACCATCAACAACGCCTTCGCATTGGACGCGCAGCCCCGAAGTAGATGGTTGAATGTTCGAGCATGAAGTCTGATTGGCATTGTGATATTGTGGAATACTAGGGGCTCCTGGCATCGCTACTAGGAGCAAGGACGCTACGAACGGGGCGCCATTTCAATTCGGTGGTTCCCTTTTGCTCAGCCAACCGTGATCCCGCTGCTCAGGTCTTACCCAACCGTGATTCCACGATGTTTGCGGAGCCGCTGGGATCCGACAATGCGCGACATTCCACGATACGCGGAGGACGACTTTGTCCTAGGACGAAGCCCAATCCGACTGATCTCATTTTTTGGGCGGACGATGGCGGAAGAAGCAACAGATAAACTGAAAGGAACATACAGTTTCATGGACTTGGGCCCCTTCAAGAAGGAATTTCTTAACTTAAAGGCGCCCGGGCCGTCCACTTTCCGATGATACTCGTTCTTTTTTTGTTGTCTTCATATTGAGATAGTTAGAAGAAACAAAACATGTATGTCTACTGTTTGGGTGATCAGGTTATCAATGGTTATCATGTGTTTGTAATTTGCCTCAGTCATTTGTTTGTCACTTGGATTTTTGTGGTCTCACTTGTTTGTCAGCATCTTCTTGTTTGTTGCTGTGATGTTGTGATCATTTAGGTGTCATTGTTGTTGCCCTTTTTCATTATAAGTTCATGTTTTTGTCCAATTGCCAATGGTGGAATATTTCTGACCACCTACTTCAGTCTGTGGGTGTAAGTTTCTTCTAATGCTATAGTACTGTTGATGTTTCATGCCGACCCACATAGCTCAGTCGAACACTTACGTCCGGCACAGGTTGTATGGCCTGGCAGACATCCCCACCTTCATCCGGGGCACTTTGAGGCGCCAACTGAGCTCGAAGCCAGAATGCACTTTACATCCTTCTTGGATGGAAGAACAACTCCTTCTGGTTGTCTGTATGTTTGGGGTGTTTGGCATTGCAGACTCTTTAGCAAGGGCGAACTGGCTGGAACATCTTGATTAGGCACACGGTTGGGAAAGGGCAGATTTTCGGTGGCCAAAGGAAACGGATCTGAACACTTTAACACTTTAATAGCAGTATCCCTTGCGTTCTAGCCGCCAGAGCCAGGTTTAGAGGCTTTTGCGAGCGAATGCTCACCCTTTCTCGACTAGGCTGGGGCCTTCGGTTCTGGAATTCGGACACCTGGCTCACCAGGTGTCATATGGTATGATTTCATATGGTGTCACATGGTTTTAATCGAGACACATATACAGTAGTTTCCTTTGCCCCAGTTCCTTAAGCACCCCCTGTGCCTCATTGAGGCCTTCTGCAGGTGGGGCCAATCCCAGGACTCGCTGACCCAGGTGCCGACGTGTGTGAGAATGAGAACCGATGTGAAGATCTTCGCCCGTGTTGACGCATGAAAGAAGATGATCAGCTTCTCAGTCAGCTTGGAGAATCAGCTTCTCAGTCAGCTTCTCAGTCCACTTTTGGAGAATGTCACGGGAGGAAGTCCTGACATGCCCTCCAGGCTCGCAGCGCGTGTGGCTTGAGCAAGTGATGTTTGGAGGCAACGAGGTGGGGATGCCGTTAGAAGATGTTAGAAGTAGGTCTTCCGCTCGAAGTTCTGGGAAGCTGATCGTTTGAAGTTCCACAGCTGCACAGCTGCAGGAACACTGACTCGCTTGCAGGGATCCTGATTCTTCAAGTTTCAACCATTTGGGCGATGTTCAACCATCAATGGTGTTCGAACGAAAAGCTCATAGCCTCTACCACACTCTCAGCTCCTTGGAAAAGCTCAGACGGGTCTGTCCCCCGCTTCTTTTTTTAGACTCTTCTCAGGCAAGCCGGTGTGGACCTTGGCTACCGATGGGCACTGATCATTGCTCGTGGGTGTGTTCAAGCATTTTTTTGATTTGAAGAAAACAACTTCTGATGATTCATGCTTTAAACATTTGTATTCTGTCTACAATAAACAACTCTGCTGCTGTACCAGGACATCCAGCCAGCATTGAACAAATTGGATGCAAACAAACAGCTCCTGTACCAAACATGCACCGGTGCTTTGACAACACCACCTGTGCAGATGCTTTGTGAGCCACATGCGACATTGTTGTGAGTAGAATAAGCTCCACAACTCCTCTAGCATCATGAAGCTTGACGTTCTTTGGGAACCGTGTCTGAATCCTTTCAGTTGTGAGAGTGCTGCAAAACACACTGAGTCTAAAAAGGCCCCAATGAAGAGCTGGTCTGGAAACCGGTGGGCCCCCATGCAACACTTGCTACGGTTTCCAGCCTCTCTGATCATTGTGGCTTACCGAATGGATCATGGGTGCCAGCATCGACGGATGTCGAACAATTTCAGCAGTTGAACCCTGCTGGGAAAGTGGTGTCGAATGACACAGAACAGCTGGCTTGAAAGGAAGGTGACATCCCGACATGCCTCCTGACACAGAACAAAAGAAACCAACATATATATTTTGCAAAGATATATATATATATATTTCTGAATGAGGATATGATACTTGTCACGAAAGTGAAAACATATCAAGCAAACCACAAGCAGGATGATCACGTTGAGAAGCGTCAATATTTGTGAATAGCGTCTTTGGCAGAGTGCCGGCCATGCTCCTTCAATGACGGCAACACATTGTTATACGTTGATCTCAACAGAATACTCCGTTCTGATGGACAGAAGCCACTATATATATAATTATATATACACATATAGAAACGGTGTTCCCACCTGACCATGTTGGTTGAACCAAGAACCACCCTTAAGTGACGGGAACCCTTAGCGGTGAAGACCACCGCAAACTCACGCGAGTTGCTTCGGACTCCTTGCTTCCCGAGGCTCGACGAGTCCCTGAGCTCGTTGATTCGGAAGCGACTCACGCAGTCGGGGAGCGACCCAGAGGCGGGGGAGCGACTCACACCGCGGGTGGCGCGTGCGCGTGGGCGAAGGCGCGACTCCTGGCGGTCGGAGGTCGTCGGGGCGTGCGGACTGGACTGGAAGAGATGTGGGTGGGAGATCCCCAAGGCCTTTCCGGAGCTTTTCCCAAAAAAACTTTTGAGAAACTGGATGCCAAGCAGGCTGAGGTGGCACTGTTTCTCGGACAGACATTTTGGCTTTCAGTCCAAGTTCTACGGCTTTGCGGATAATTGCAGGATGACAAACAGGACTGGGCACGCAAAGGATGTTCTGGAATTGCTTGTTCTAATCCGCGCAGAGGTTGGCCTGGAGTTCCTCTCCTGGTTGGGCCTGCTGCAGGCTTGGATGGTTTGCATTCCTTCATGTGTGCCAGCATTACGTGAGGGATATGACCCGGGCTTGATCTGCACTTATGCTCTGGATACCAGTATGAGTGCTTGCACATCAAAGGGCATCTTGTAAAGCCACCGGCAAAAACCGAGAGCTAGGTCACGTGACAGGAATTTCTGTGAGGATCTCCATGTCAAGCAGCTTTGCAGATAACAACGAGTGGACCATACCAGGCTTCATTTTCTTGTAGGGTGAGACAAGGTTTTCATCCTTTGCCAGCAAGAATCCTGTGCCCCTCAAGGTTTGAGGATCTGTTTAGGATCTTCAATGCCAGGACAAGCCGCTTCCAACCGGTGTGTCGCCCGCTCGTCCACTGGTCACTTAGCAACAAAAAAGGCAGTCTTTTTTGTGTCGACTTTCACACCTTCAAGGATCTTCAATGCAGAATTCGTCAAACTCGAGCAACGATCCATTGAGTAAACATCAATTGGAGAAAAGCCTTATGAAAACCATTTCAGGTACAGCCCTGAAAGTCCAGAATGAGTGT